ATCTTCCCCAAAGAATTAAAAGAATCATACCACAGTGATATATGTGCACCCATGTTCATAGCGGCACAATCTGTAATAGGCAAAACTTGGAAGCAGCCCAAATTCCCATCAACTGGAGACTGGATAAAGAAAATGTGTTTTTTTAATAAAATGGAGTACTACTCAGCCATAAAAAAGAAGAAATTAGAGACATTTATAGCTAAATGGATGCACACTGAGGTGATACTCTTAAGTAAAATAGGACACACATGTGTAAATACCCAATAATTTCTCTAGTGTGAGAAGCTAAAAGTGTAAATAAGGACTAAAAGGTATAATATATAATGTGAAATAGGAAGAAAAGGGGAAAAGGGGAAGGGGAAGTGGGAGGGGTAGGGGAAAGGAAAGAAAAGAATGGAATTAATATGAGAAAATGAAAAAATGGAAACAAAATCTTTGTAAATAGGGAGGGATGGAGGGGTTGAAAGGGAATGGGGAAAAAATAAGAACCAAGAGAGATTATGTAAAGGTACAAATTTCCAATGATGAATGTCATTATATTGTATACCCAAAATGTATCAATAAAATTGATTAAAAAAAAAAAGAAAGTACATCATGAAACCCTGCACGTCTACTTACAGGCTCCACGAACTCAAACATCTTCCTCTCCTGCACTTCTTGCACCTTGAAGACATACTCCAGGGATACTTCGTAGAAGTGCTGCCGGACCAGGTCTACCTGGCTGTCTGCCTACAAAGAAGATGGGATTTAAGAGGAAAATCTGGTGATTATCCAACAAGAACACTGAGAAAGCAGAAAAAAATCTCTGGAGACAATTTTTACAAGCAAATCAAATAGCATGACACAGTAATAAGAGTAATTACAATGATTAGCTCAACACTAATTTTATGGCAGGCACTATGTCCATAGCTATATAAATATATAAATATAACTTTATTTAATCCTCATTATTTTTAATTATATAGTCATTATATTCCTATAAAAGAAATGATATCTTTATCTCTAATTTGCAGGAGGAAAATGAGGTACACAAACATTAAGAGAGTTGACTAAGGTCATACAACTATCAGAGAACAGAGCTGGGATTTCTGTCCAGCTGAATCTGCCCTCAAGACCCTTGATCGCTCTTAAGAGCTCTACTGCCTCCCCACACCTCCATGGCAGACAGATTTTTAGAGTGGAAAAAAGCAAATTGAGTGCAGTGGCACATGCTTGTAAATCCCAGCTACTTGGGGAACTGAGGCAGGAGGATCAAGATTTCAAGGCCAGCCTGGGGTAACTTAGTGAAACTTTGTCTGAAACAAACAAAAGCAGTAAGCCTGCACAGCCATCCACAGCCCATCCTCCTCATGAGTAAGATGAGCTGTTAGAGGGCAAGGACCCCAAAACAGAACATTTTCATAGGAGTGCCAAGTACTTTGTTAATGACAAGGACAAATGAGCAGTTCATCCAAAGAGAGTAACTATCACGCCCTCAGACCCCCACTCTTCCCTCTATGCAGGTGGTGCCCAGGCCCTGAGTGGGTACAGTTAAAGCACAGATCTGCAATCTACTATCCAGGGCTGAAACTGAGTACAACTCCGTGAGGATGCTCTGCTACAGATGCCCAGCCCTCACTCACAGCTCTCCGTCTGTCCGCAATGTGGCTATGTCCACACATTCTTTCAAAGCAGTTTCACTGAAAGCACATTTCAACAATAAAGCACCAAAGTGAATGTGTTGGTTTTTTTAAATATAAGTGAATTATGCTGCTAGTTGGAAACAAAACACTGTTTTCCTTAGAAATTAGTCAAAACTAGTTCTATAATACACTCTACTGAGACCAAAAAAAAAGCTCCCCAAAAGATTATTTCTCTTATTGTTCCTTTGTCAAGATTCCTGCAGAACAAACTTGGAATAGACCTTTCCATTGTCCCAAATGTTATGCTATGGTGACATTTAAGAACTTATATAATCATTCATTCCTTAACTATCACAAGCAAAAGGAGACTTCTTCATGAGGCTTACAGCACAATGAAGAAAAAACTAAGTGAGAACCCAGTCAAATTTATGTAAATAAAAAGAAAATTATAAGCTCTGGTAAAATACAAGACACTATGAAATAGCCCCAAAGTATGCATTCAAGTCTCTCAGGCTACCAGTTTCCCCCGGGGCAAATGACACATTCACACAAGGAAGATGGTCTGCTGAGTAACTGCTGAATAACACAGAAGGCTGAAGCTGAAGGCACTTTCTGAAGGAGATTTTATCTGTAGGCAATGTTTCAGAAGGTCTGCACCCCATTTTGCCAAGTCTAGCTGCTTAGACAACCGGGTTGACACATCTTCCAGCAGGGCTCCTGCCAGTCATGCCCCGTATGTTCCAGCAGCCTTTGATGTCCTTGGGGCTCAACTCCTCCCCCCCACACCAGTGAATACATCTTCCTCTGATCATCCCACACACCTCACAGCTTCTCAGTGGGCTTGCTGACTGAGGTTGTTGAGTGAGGGAGGGGATCATTCTGAAAATCTTCAAAAAGTCTCTTGCAGCGTAGGCAAGATGAAAGCCACAGAAAGTTCCGGTAAAGAACAAGGAACCAACTCCAGCAGCAGAGCACTGATCTATGTGTGGGTTCCAGTCCCAGGATCTTCCAGCTGATGTGACCTGTTCCAGTCACTGATCTTGTCTGAAGGATGGAGATAATAATATCTGCCCTTGCTCTGGGTGGAGCTAGTTCAGAGAAAATGGGCTAAAGGATGAGAATAACTGGAGACGGGGCATTGGTTGCTACTGTCACCAGGCACTTCAGCATCAGTGGCCTGCAATCCCTGTTCCTGCCCTAAACCAGCACACTTTCCCTGAGCCACCAGGCTCCTGACCGGTCTCCTTACCTGTCCCAATTTCCACCCAGCAGCCAGTATGCCCCCTTAGAATCTAAATCAGATGGTCTCTCAGCCCCTTCAAGCCCTCCCCCAGCCTCCACCATGGTGTGCGAAGCCCTGTGCTGTCTGTCCAGCCCACCAGCCCCTCCTCCCAGCCTAACTGGCCCTCACCGTGCTTGGCATTCTGGTCTCTTCCTACTCTCTAACCTCTTTACGGTCTAAAAGCTTTGACCTAGCATTCTTTCTGCCTAAAAACTTCTTCCCCTAAATAAATGTACTTTTTTTTTTATTTTGGTGTATACGTCTCACAATGACCCTATGAATACACATTTTTAATTAGTATAATGCACTTTCATATTTTATCTAGCCTACTCTATGTTATGACCCAGTAATTTTGATTTTGATTACACACCCACAGCTTGAAGAAGACTGCCTAGCTAACATAGCTCATGTCATTCCTCCTAGGCTCAGATTGGGCTTTCCGGAGAAGCATTCATTAAGCATTTTCTCTCCCAATTTATTTCTTATCACTGTGTGAAATTCTTATTTATTCCTTTCTTTTCTTTTTGCTGCCCACTAAAATATAGTCTGTGAGAACAGATACCTTTTCTAATTTTTTCACCTTTCTATCTCAGTGCCCAGAAAAGTACCTGGATGGTAGGAAATGTTCAGTAGAATAAACAGATTTCTCTCCATGTGGCTATCAGGCAGCATCAAAGGAATGTCCCTTTAGTGACCCAGCACTAAGAAGAAATGCATAACTCAATGCATCTTCAAAGGAAAACAAAAGAGAAATCCCAACTGAGATGGGATTCTCTTGACAGCATCCCTGCTTATTGGCCACAGAATGTACCACATCCTTAGCCTCTCTAAACTGGAATCAAAAGCCAGGATGCTAACCTGCTTGCCAGACCACTTCCTATGATCTGGATATGGTTTGAGTGTGTCCCAGAAGGTTGTGTGCTGGGGATTTGGACTTCAATTTGACAGCATTTGAAGGTGGTGTGGAACCTTTACAAGATATAGCCTAGTGGCAGGTCACTGGGGGCACTGCTTTTAGAAGGGAGGCAGTTTCTGGAGGCCTTAGTTAATTCTCGAGAAACCTGTTTTAGAAAAACAAGACTGGCCCCTCACTGGTCTTTCTGGCTTCCTGTCTCACCATGTGGCTCTTGGCATTGTGATGCCATCCCACACGATGTGGTGTAGGCGGAAGAGTGTCTCACTGGAGCTAGGGCTATGCGGTTTGAAATTTCAGCCTCCAAAACTGTAAGTTAAGTAAAGCTCTTTACTTTATAAAGTACTGTGCCTCAAGCATTTTGTTATAGTGACAGAAAACCAATACACCAACTCACAACTGTTTCTCTGTAACTTAAAGTATATATCTTCCAGCTTGAGCAGACCCATTGATCATTCTGTATTTCTCAAAACCTGTAAGTTCCATGACAGTGGATCCTTCTTTTCACTCCCCATAAAACACTCAGAGCCTGACCAGACTTTCACAGAAGTGTCTGATGAGTACTGGTACAATGAAGCAATATTGCTTTTCTATGAAGCAATATTTGTTTTTTATTAGTAAACATTTGCAGTACATAATGATTACATTCCTCATGGGGAGCTGCTGGATGTACATAACACATCTTAACTCCTTTTTCATCCCCTTCCCCTACAAATACTGGTTTTGATACAAACTTCTTAGTCACTGTAGATTATTTTTAATCCACTAGGTGGCAGTGTAATCCCACACTGCTGCCCCAGTAATTTCCGCCTCCACAGAATGAGTGAGGGACTCAAATTGAAAAGCATTCAATTCAGAGTCCTGTGATCAGGGAACAATTCTGGATAATCAAAGGTAGTAGATTTTATCAAAGATGTACCAGGTGTTTAATAATGTTCCTAAAAGTTGATTTTTAAAATAAATGTGAAGAAAAGCATTACTAAATAGCTGGAAAATCTTAAGCAAATCACTTCACCTCTGCTAAGAACTCAGATCCTTTGAATGTATTCAAGGAAGTTGCACCAGATGATCACCAAGGTCCCCCCTTCTCTCCATTTCTATTTGCATGACTGAAAGGGATTAGCGCTTAGGACCCATGCTGAAAGAAGAAGAACCTGGAAGGGAGAAGGGGTCCACAGCTAGGTGCCAAGGTTAGCTAGCTACAGGCAGGCTATTTACCACTATGAGCCTCTGTCTCCTCAGATGTAAAACTGAGGTAATACTGACATCCATACTTCATGGAGTAGTTGTGAGGATTCAAGAAGATTCCATGGCAAGTGCTTAACACAGTACATCAGGCATAAATGTACATTCAGTAAATGTTTGCTACTATTGTTGTTAGTAGTACCCATGTGCTGTTGCTGTTACTGGACATTTCTTGCCTGTAAATTAGCACAGGAAAATGGCAATGCTTGACAACTGGACCTCAACAAACCAGAACTTGCAAAAAAGACTGCAGCCCAATCCTTGCTACCCAAGTACATAGAAAGCATGAATGGGTAAAAGGTAGGAACACAAAGGACTGTAACAAAAGAACATAATAAAAAACATTCACTGAGATATACAATGGCAAAGTCTGTAACAGTGCCATCCAATATGGATATAGCGGATAGACAGAAGCAGGCCTGTCACAAGGATAATAACTGTGTTTGTTCAGTAGCTGTGGTTCGCCTTCTCATTCATGAACTACTCAGAATGTATATTTTATGAGTACTTTACACATAAAGGAATGAAATCTCAGAGAGCCTAAGGAACTTGCTCCAGGCCACACAGTGAATACAAGACAGGTGGGTCTTGAAGGAAAGCACCCTCTTTGGTAGGCCAGGGTTCAGATCCTTATATTGTGATAATTCAGAGGGAGATGGCATTGGAATGACCTTAAAGAAAGCACTGGATTCATCCCAAAGTCAGTAATACCAAGACATGGAAAGAATGGACCTGCAGGAGAAGCACCCTTACCAGGGGGACCACCATGCCTACAGGATAAATGTGGGCTTCCAGTATCAGTGGGTGCTAGAACTTCCACCCACCTGCTCCACTCTGGACAACTGCACTAATGGTGCACGGTTATCCTAAACGTGCTGTATAACCAAGAAGAAGCTGCAGAGCTACAAGACTTGGCCACTGTCACGTACAGCCAAAGAGATTTACCTGAAATATGAGTTCCCAAACCCTAAATGCCATCTAATGTTAGAAGAATGAAAACTAAAAAGTGTGAGTATTAGGGCTGGAGATTTAGCTCAGTGGTTCTGCCGCCTGCCTCACAAGCACAAGGTCCCCAGCTCAATCCCCGGTACCAAAAAAAAAAAAAAGTTCGAGTATTGGGACAGATCCTAAATGGAATTATAGAATTATCAAGTGCAATCTACCTGTCCTTGGGCAGCATCTAGTGCCTGTGTCTCTGTGTTGAGCTGGGGTCCTTATCATTACTCAAAGACTGGTTTTTTGGTACTTTTTGTTTTCTGGTGCTGGGGATGGAATCTAGGACCTTGTGCAGGTTAGGCAAGCACGGTATCACTGAGCTACAACCTCAGCACCCAAGAATTGGTTCAAATACCCATTCAAAGCAAATATTTATGAGAACAGCACATTCTTCTCTGAAGATGTATATGAAATCATGGTTAGGAGGGAAATGGACTCCACATCTCGCGAGTTATCTTCCTCCATCTTTTCACTTACTGTAAGTACTGGCATGATATGGGCTCAAAAGGAATTGAAATTTAAGAATGAGGGGTAGTCTGAAAGCCAACACCTCTCTTTAGAGACATATCATGAGAAAAGGAGAGCAAGCTGTGGAAAATTAAATAAGATGACACTCATGACACCATATTTTGAGTTCCGCTAGGAAACTGCCCTGTCTCCCAGAAACAAAACTTCCTCACCATGCAAATCTCCGCAGACTAAGTAAAACGATAACAGCTCTATGGCTGCAAATCTGACTTCTCCTTCCAAAAGACTACTTTTAAAAACATCCCATCCAAATCCTGAGGAACCAGGAACAGGCTGATGAATATTTTCTTTAAACAAGGTTACCAAAACTCAAAAGACAAAAGGAAAAAAACACCCAAAACATTCATATATGTATATATATATGTGACAGTAAGACACTATTAGAACAAAAAAGAAAAGACAAGACAGGAAAAAACCAATGTCAGATACCGGACTGAAATAATATTTAAAAATTAACATTAAGGAAGGTTGAAAAAAGTGCTTCAGATGCTAACAATGTAAGTCACTGACATAAGGCAGGAAGTCAGGGGTTAAGGAAACAGTGCAGTATTAAGGGCAAGGGTGAAAGAAACAGGAAGACAGATCTCAGCTTGAAGTGAAGAGTCCCAGTCTAGCAAGGAGGGCTCCCCAACCAGAAGGCAGTCATCTTGGCCAGCAGTATGATCCAGAGCCACAAAGGTGAGTGGGATAGGAGGTTACAAAGGAGGAGGCATCAGGATCAAGCTCCTAGTTTCCAAGGTCTCTGGCAAAGACCTAAGATTTTCTGGCAAAGAGCAACCACAGCACTGTGTAAAAATGACATATTTTGTTCAGGATATATGGCAAATTTCTTACCTCCTGAAGCTGAGATTCCTTCTTTTTAGAAGACAAATTCAAGTGTTTTTCTAAGATGCCACAATACTTTTCAGTCTCTTTGTCATATTTCTTTTTGGCTTCCTGGCAAAAAAAAAAAAAAAAGAGAGAGAGAAAATGAAGAGTAAGAGGCTGCAGGAATAAAGCAATTCAGTCTCTCCAGACCTTTCTGCTCCCCTTTACAGACTCATTGTTCCGCCTGCACAGAAGCGCAGCAGACAGCATGGCTCCTACTCTGCACATTACACCCATTAAGCCATGCGACTACCCTGCCATGGCCCTGCAGATCAGAGCATCTATCTGGCACAGAGGCACCAGTACAATCCCAGAAACAAGGCAATGCCAGTATTTAATACTACCAAAGCCAGAACTCTACCTTCTAAGAACTTCAATTATGGGGACTGCAGATGTAGCTCAGTGGTAGAGTGGCTACTTTTAGCATGAATGAGGCGCAGGTCTGACCACCAGTAACATAAAGAAATAAAGAAAAAAAGAGAGAGAATTTCAATTGTGAGACCAAAATTCCTGGTTTCTAATCCACACAGATGTCAAGCCAGAGAAAATAAGGCTATGTAGGTTATTTATGTCGCTAATGCCTCCTGTAGCCTCAATGGGACAAGTCTAAAGTAAAGCTAGAGCCAGGCCTAACAGCATTCAAACAGAACTCTGTCTTGTAGAGACCCAGCTACCACTTGATGCCACACATAGGTCTGTCTCTATGCTACAGAAAAATTCAAAACACGGTAAGATGATATCTTCACAAATTGACAACACCATTGATAACAGCAAGACAAAACAAAACGAGTAGAAATAATATCACTGCCCAAGAATAGGGTTTGTGATCATTAAAGCATAAGATATCCAGTACATCTAATTAGTCAGATGGAAAATTGTTCAGTGGATCACGATATAATGAAAACTATAATAACATGACATAAACTTGGAACAGCCTATGCAGGGTATCTACCCATGGACAAAGATTAGATGGGCGTAAACTTAAATGGAAATACTTCAGTTAAGGAAACAGAACAATGAAAAATTGTTTTCTCCCTTTGGGAAATTTTTATTAGCCTAAATTACTGCCTTTAAAATGAAAAGCAATGATATCCCTCAAGTCCTTGAGTCACTGAGGTTCTATTTTTATCCCCTATTTTACAGATCAGAAAATTTAGATCCAGGGAGGGTAACTTATAAAATATCACAGAAAGTGACAGAACCGAGGTTTGGGCTCAGGCTAATCTGCCTCCAAAGCCCACATTCTCCACCACACTTGAGGCACTGCCACAGGCAGTCTCTTTTCCTTCCACATGCTAGTGGGGACTGCAGGCAAGGCGGCTGGGAGAGAGCTGGTACCAATCTAATAAGCAGGTTCAAATTCACTAACTTGGTGCATCTCTCCTGCTTTTGAGTCATATGGAGCTCACAGGAGGCATTTCTGTGCAATTCTAAGACCTACATGAGCAAAAAAAATTTTCAAGCAAGATAAGGAAGCTCAAGGACATCTCTTTATTCATTTAAGAAATTTACAATGAGCACCCACTCTGTATTTGACTCCACATAGGCACTGGAAATGTGAGACAGAAGCTGTCCCTACCCTCATGGTAAGAATGTTCTAGTAGAAAGAGAAACACAATTAACCAGTAGACAAATATGTAGGACAGTTTCAGACTGCTGCAAGTGCTACAAAGAAAATAGAGTGTGGTCACAGAGGTCCTTTAGATACAGTACTCAGGAAAGGCCTCACTGAGAAGGAGAGGTGTGAGCTAAGATCTACTAAACACATGAAGGGGCGAGGTAGAGCCTTTTGGAGCAAGAGAATGGGTGTACATGCTCAGGGGAAGAACACCAAGCCAAGAAGCCAGGATCTGAAGCCCTGCCAACCTCCCACCTTTACTTGGTCAACAGCAAGACTCAAAGCTTCACAGAGTGGGAGAATGATCAATTGTTTTGCTTAAACCACTCCTTGCACACACTAACAATGAAACATATAGAAGCAAAGATGAAAAAGCCTAAGGAAACCTTACTCTTTCAAATTTGGGGATACAGGCAAGCAACTCTTTTTCTTTATAGAAACCAGAAACTAAGCTGGGCTGTGACTCCCATTGATGCTGCATAAATCCACTCCTACCAGCCTTGTCAGCAGCCCCAGAACAGAGAACCCTAGGGTCAGCACAGTCCAGCTGGCCAGAGGCGAGAAGAAGCCGGAGAACCTGAGTCACTGGCATTCTGACTTTCTGACCACTCAAGCCTCCACATTCCATGTTCAAGAGGACAGCCAGAGTCAGAGAGTAGAGAGAATGGAAAGAAAAGAAAGGAAGTGGTTTCTGTATGGAGAAAATAGTACCAAGACCTCTGCAGCAGTAACCCTAAGGTCCAAGTGATATTCGTGAAATGGGAGGGAGGCATTCCTCAGTTACTCGGGACACAAGACGACTCCCACCTTTCAGAGAGGTGGCTATGGGGCGGTTAAGTAAATACAGGACAGAGTCAGCGTCCTGCAGTTCATTCCCAATGCTGTAAAGACTGACTCTATACCAAGAACTAGCCCTCTCCAGGACTCCATTTCTTTATCTATAAGTCGAGGAAGCCTAGATGAGATAATTGTGCAGCTTTCATCTTGCAGCTCAAAGACCGCATAGCAAGATAAGGGTAAGAATAACCCCTTCTTCATAGGGCAGTTCAGATGAAATGAGATAAACCATATTCAGTGCTCGCACCTGACACGTGTAAAGTACTCAATGACTTTCAGTGGTGGTGATGAGGATGGTGAGGACTAGCTCACCCTCTACACCCGTCTCCTCATCAGGAACATCACTTGCCTCGCAGGCACCACGTTCCATGAAGGCAGACTTTCCACGGACCTACCACAACTTGACATCACACATTTGTTAGCATCCCTCTGTTTAACTCCTTTCTCTTCGGCCGCACCACAAGCACAGCAACACATTGGCTTTGTTCTCCACCAAACATCAGGGCAAAGCCACCGCCGGACATATAGCAGACTCTCATATATTTTCTTAAGGAATGAACTATGTTTATCTAATAACTAATATCAAATGACAAAATGACAGCCACTCTCCTCATGTCCAAATAGCTACATGACAGATACTTGCTTTAAGCACTTCGTAGGAGTTCACTCACTTCTTCCTCATAATAATTCTGGGAGGTAAGTTCTACTATTATCCACATTTTACAGATCAGGAAACAGGCATGGGAAGGCTCAGGAACCTACCCGAGTTTATATGCAAATGGCAGAAGTGACATTTGGACTCAAGCAGCCTTGCTCTAGGCCATGCTGAACCAAACACTCTCTAATGTCTATTCTACTTTCATTATGGAGCCCAGCACTTCCAATCTACCTGTGATGCATAAAAAATCTACTTCCCCAAACTCAGAAATAAAAACCTCAGCTAATGATTCTAGCAAGCTCTAGGCTCTTGACCTACTCCTGAGCAGCCATATCCACAGAAGAATGCCCAAGAATCCCCTCCCTGGCAGCCTTCACTCTGCATGCTCTGCAACAAGTTGTTATAGCAACCAAAGCAGCACCAGAGAGGAGAGGAGGAAGGAAAAGTAATTTTAGCATCACACAGGCAGAGTTCAGGAGCCTCCCTTAGGCCACCACCAAAAAACAGCTAAGGAAGACTTTCTGGGTCTTTGATATTCTTGAGTCTGCTCACTAGAGTGTCTTCTAGGAGGTTTTTGGTTTGTTTTCTCTTAAACTTACATGATACTATGACATAAATATATAAGTTGTGCGGGTGGTGGAGAGGAGGGTATATTGTGGTGGGGGAGAGAAAAGATATGACAAAGGAGGAGGAATGAGAAATAATCCCAAATGTCATCAAAATCACTTTGATGCCTGATGATTTATAAAAAATGTTAATGACTGATGATTATTACTAATTGAATGAAAGGTAAAGTGTGCATGACAGAAAACATGTTTCACTAGGTGACTATTTCCTATAAATTCTTTTATTTCTACACATCCCACCACTTAAACCCCTACTGCTACTGTATTAAACCCAAAGGGAGCCCACTCAGACCTCTGCTTCTCAGTGGTGACTATGATAACTCCCCAAACAATGCAAGGGAAGAGGTCACGGTGGGAGGCATGTGCCAGGAAGGAGAAGGAGCTACAGGAGGGTGACTCAGTAAGCAAGTCTGTTCTGCTTCTGCCTCAGCGCACTCCATCCCAGATCCTCCCTGGAGCCTCCGGAAGCAGGGCAGGGTGTGCTCGGAATGGGGGACGCACAGGCCCTGAGGCTGCGCCAGAGGAGCCTCTCCCAGGGCCTGACCCAGAGAGCTCCTTCCCAGTGTGTTCTCAGCCCTCAGCAGGTCAATTCAAAGTCCTGGACAAATCTGGGTAGAGCAAAACTTCCCTGAAATTATACACTCCTTAACCTCTGGTACAAAACCAATGAACACCAATTTCGTCATAACTAAACTGAAATTGATGTGAACATGCTGTGAAGCTGGAAGAAAAATCTTTGCCATAGTCTCTCCTTCAAACTATAGCCACCTGCCGCTCTGAAAGACCCCGACTAAACATCTTTTTCAGTAATCCTATCTATTTCTGGAAGGCAGGTTGGGAGGAGAGGAAGAGGAGAGAGCAAAAGTGAGTGAGGGGGCTTGAGAACTGGCATGCGCTTACTGTGACATTTCCTCTATTGTTTTCCCACCTACAATCACTCCTCAAGGACTTTTCTTCACAACTGAGTAAAATCTCCACCAAGAAAGGTGGTGGTGGTGCCCAAAACTCCCTATAGGTGGCGTAAGGGACTGAGGATGAAGTGACAATTCCAGAAAAACAGGAAAATGTGGAAAGCCTTTTGTGCCCATTGATTCCATTGAAAACACTTTCCCTGCAGGTAGCCTCTAACACTCTAATGAACATCAAACCCACTAAGGTTGCCTCATATTTCATCACACGGGAGAGTAACTCTGGAGAATCCACCCGCTATAAACTAGATTCTTTATAGCCTTTTAATAACACATGAGAATTAGCCAAGTTTGGGCTATAGTCCCTCTAGGCTGGTGGTAATACATGGTAACCTCTGGGGTGGAACTGGCCTGCAAACATGGTTTTTTGACCTATACAATGAGTAAAACATATTTTCTGAAATTATTTGCCCACAGGACATTTCCCATAAATATCTGGTTTTTCAATTTCCCTTAAAACATTGAAGGATCTGTCAAGAGGGGACCTGATACACAACTCTGTGAGACCTCCCCAGAAACAAAACAAAACACACTGTCCATGCATACAGCCATCTAATAACACAAGAGTCGTAGTTTCTGCCTTTGGATGGTTTGTGAACTAGCACAGAATAACACAGTGGACTGGCTAAGGGGGGCTGGCCACTACAGCCGTTCTTCAGTCCCCTGCAAAGTGTGGAAGAGCTAAGATCCAGCTTATCAGGTAAAGATTTTCTGAAGAAAGAAGGCTTATGTTTTCTCCTGATGTTCTTAGATTTTAAAGAAAGTACTGCATTTTCCAAACCACCACCCAAAAATCCAACAACAAGGTTTACAAACTTCTCACCTTGGCAGCCCCAATCTGCTCCTTGCGAAACTTCTCCAAAGGAGTGATGAGAACTTCACTGGCATTCTCAATCTGGTGAAGAAAGTCAGAAAAGGACCCAGGACAGGGGACAAAAGGAGGATGAGTATAGCAGCTCCATCACATAAGCCCCGCCCCCCAAGTCTTGGAATAAAATTGGAGTAAGCAATAATCTTCATGTGTCATTATTTATAAAACTAATCAGTACATCAAAACAAAATCTACCCATTGATTCAAAACATAATATTCCTCCTGTGCATGATTAATATTGACTTTTTAAAAGGAAAAATGAGGACACCTAAAAGTGTTAGCAACCATGTGAAGGCAAAGGGGAACTGGTTTCCGAGTAGCATCTAAATTTCAAGATTCTAGTGACATCGTACAAATGATCATTCTTTGAAGTTGTAAGTAAAGTCAGTCAACAGTGAATCTAGGTTGAAAATAAAAACAAAACATCTTTGAAATCTGCTGACACAAAAGTCCTTCAAGCTTAAGGTTTGGTTGTACCCACAGTACAGGACAGGGGCCAGAACATGTTTCTCCTGACCGCTGCCTCCTTCTCAATGCCATCTCACAGGGCTCACCCCTCGGGTCCCGCACGCCAATCTACTGTCACTCCAATGCACCTCAAACTTGTCCCTCCTACGGCCTTTGCCTCTGCCTATTCCCTCAGATGCTCTGTCCCCAAACTTCTGCATGAATGACTCTTTATCATAATTAAGGGTTTAGCTTTCAGGTCACCTCTCTAGGGAGGCCTTCCCTGACCACCAATATAATTCCAAGAAGCTACCTACCATCCCACCAAGCATCTTCTTCAGAGCCCATATGCCAGGTGAAGTTTTCTGGTTCACTACTATACACATTTACACACACATACATATACACTATCCATATACACATGTACATACACACTCTAAATATCCACATAGACACACATATACATACAATCTTGTAAAGATTTATTTGTCTACCACTATCCAAAGAACAGAAAAGCAATGAAACAAAGGAGCACTCAAACACTTTTGAATGAGTGAATGAATGAATGAATGAATAATGAATGATTACTGGACTGACTGCCAACTGTAGGACAGCCAAAACATTTAACCTCTCTGGGCTCTAATTTCCTCATCTGCAAAATGCATGACCCAAATTGTTCCCAGCTCTAAGATTCTATGGTCTTTTCTAAGGCAGGATAATATTTTACAATCTTTCCTTTTAAGTCACTCATTGCTCACTCTTTGATCAACTAATTATTTCAGGACTCTCTTTGCAATAAGGTATTTTTTTTTAAATCACATGCATGTCATTCACAATGAAACCAAACAAGTCAATGCCAGAAGCCTCAGATGGACACAGTAAGGAAGGACCAGAGAATGTAAGAGACAAAAAAAGACAGGTTTCCAAACTGATTCCTATTTGCCCTTCTCTCAATTTTGACAGCACTTATTCCAGAAAAGTATATTTTGACACTGAAGTGCTGTAATATTAATTTGTTCTAATTTTTTATGATTTGGTGTTGCTTAATTGGCTCGCTAAAGTCTTTTCCACAAATCCACTGAAAGTCTCTGAAGCTCACAAAGCTGTGCTAAGCAGCTAGGTCAGTGATTCTCAACCTCAGCTGTACATTAGAATCACTGGGGAGCTTTTACAAACCCCAATGTTCAGAGCACACACCATCACCTCGTACCAAATGACAATCACTAGCTTTAGCCCCATGCATCAGCATTTTTAAAGCCCCCAAGACATTCCATTGGGCATCTATAACTGAGAATCCAACCCTAACTAGAAGCTCAGTATGTGAAGCATTTCACATGGGAAGCAAAATACCCAAGTCTTTACCACAATCCTACTACAACTTGCTTTTCCACCTGTCAAATGAGTGATTACAGATAGTGAGGAACAAGGTCCCTCTGGGTTGAAAATTCTATGAGTGTTTTAAGTTCCGTTCAGTTTCAAGAACTGTGTTTAAAGCTGGGGACACAGAAGCCCACACACAGAAGCCCTCAGCCCTTGGGGAACTTTTATTTCCTATGGGCCCAGACACACAGTGACTATCAGGACAATGTGAAAAGTGCAGAATCAGAAGCATAGACTAGATGTTCACAAAGCACAAAGGAAGGCCAAATATCCCAGGAAGTCAGGGAAGACTTCCCAAAGAAGGTGCAGCTTTGCTAAGCTGAGCTAAACTGATGATGAAGCTATCACAGGCCTCAGAGGGGTAAGCAGGGGCTTGTGATGGCCAGATACTTAGGCGCAGACAGTAGAAACTCAATTTACTGACATTAATAATAAAATTGCAGAGGCGAGCTGAAAAGCATAATCCAGCCATTGTTCCCTTACCACAAGCCGTAGCAATCCGCAGGGGATTCATGGTGATTTGCTCACCACGCATCCCTCCACCCCCAAATACTGACTCAGCCAAGAAATCAGACTCAAAAGAATCATTGCCCTTTCTCAGGCACTAGCACATGCACAAACACACAAGCTTTCCTCTCCCTCCAGCTGCCACCAACCCTGCCACTGCCACCACGACTACCCTCCTGATTCTGGTTCAAGTACCAGCAGGGAGCAATCAGAAAAAACAGGTCTCTCTCTCTTCAAGGTACTTCCAGGAAAGTAGTAGGCTTCTGCTTTGTTTGGAGTTTTAAAGAAATGCCCATAGTTTTTGGTATAATGCTGAGTTAGGTTTGAATCCAGACCATACTACTTATTAGCGGTGTGATCCTGGACAAGTTACTTAACCCTGGTAAGCCTCAATCTCTTTCTCCGAAAAAACTAGGGATAATATAAATACTATTCCATAGAGGCATCATGAGAGTTAAATAGAATATGCCTGAACGCTCAAATTTGGCATCGTCCCTAAATCTCTGGAACTCTGCTGCCTGGAGACAAGCCCTCCTAGGGACATTCCTGATATCTAAAGGATGTGGGGAAGATGCCAAGGAACTTTCTGTGAGTGTGACATCTCTTACCCGTTAACACTAAACCACATCAGAATAAATGCTAGTTCAAAAGATATCTCTTACAAAACTGGAGATCAGAATCTGACTCTTGAATTTGTACAGCATCTCCCTTTGAAGATCCTAGAGTTACCTTCATTTACTAAGTAGAATTTACTAGGTGCTAGCTACATGGCAGGTTCTGTCAGGTGCTTCAGAGTTAAAAAGGAAGTGGTGCCCCTGGCCCTCTAAGGCTCTTGGACAGGTTTAATACGGCATGAGGAAGAGGGATCACAGTAGGATACCTTCTTTTTCTTTCTGCTGGTAAAGAATCTCAGGCCCCCAAAAGTTAATCATTCAAAAGATCCACCCTTAAATCCTATACCTCATATAGGTATAAGTTTAGACCTTACAAGAAATCTTTGAGAGGACAGAGATACTGTTCTGAAGATATACACCAGTAATCTAGTAACACTTACAAAAGGCTTTAAACCCTGCAAAGACAAGGCTTGCTCTAAGCTCAAATCACTCCAGCGGCAGAACTCGAACTCAGGTCTTCCTCACCCCATGTGCACATACTGTCTGGTACCAAGACATACTCACCATCCGTATCCGTTCATCTTCAAGATTCCTGAGGACAGTGGCAAACTCCTGCAAAGACCTTGCTGGAAGAGAGAAAGGGCCATGAGGCTGAAGGACAGTAATGGGTCTTTAGGAACGTTTCCAGTACCACTATTAAACCTATGGATTTAAATTCCTATCCATGCAGATGCCTACAGTCAGTTGCTTCCTAAAGTTACCCTTATCTTTTAATCACTAACCATTAAGGATAGATGACCCAGAAATGCAGGTTAACTGCATCTGGGACTCTAGCTGGCGAAGGATTTCTTCAAGGAAAAGACCTGATTGTCCCTGAGAGCAGCAGGACTGGTGAGATACTGGCAGGCTCCCAGTCTCCAGACTGGAAGGCACAGAGTTCGGCTTAAGAGTTAAAGGATTTCCTGTCCAGGATTCAACCTCCTCAACCTTTTGTCATGGGGCTGCATCAGAATTCAACCTTTATTTTGGCACCAAAACTAAACAAATAGCGCTGCTGGCATCAGAAGCCATATCTCTGGCGTCTTCTTGGGCTCCTCCTCCCTGAGTCCTGAAGCAACTCAGTAATAAAACACAGCCTCACAGTCAAATGGATGGTCTTCCTTGACAGAATTACTCACAAAGGCAGCAAGCATTGAGTGCTGTGGCCCTGAGAATGCTCAGGACACTTGTGCAATACTAAAAGAAGCATCCATCCATTCACAAGTTACATCAAGTATGTGTTTTCACTGCTCTCGGGTGTCTCCCAAATGTCTTTACTCAACCCCAGATCCTGGCACCCTCCATGGCAAGAGGGATTCAATAAATATTTGATGAATCAATCAATTCACTATAACTTCCTCAATTCTTTTTTGGGGGGGAGGGTATGGTGGATTATGAATTTAGAGCCTCACACATGATAATAAGTATGTGCTCTACTACATCTCTCAGCCCTAACTTCTCAATTATTCCCCCTTCACAGAGACAACTAAGATGTCCAATGTAAGAAGAATGAAGTCCAATAACAACACTCTGGAGAAAAATGGTTCTGACCTTGCCAACCCTCTGTACTCAGGGCTGCCTAGAGAAGAAAGCAAGTGACAGGAAAGAATGAAGCAGCACAGTTTGATGATAAGCAGGTACCCACCTCAGCTTCTTGGTAAGGAGACAGAGAGGTGGGTACTGCAGGGGCAGGACACTGAGCTCCTCTCCCCATCTAGAGCCACAGGCACCTACATAGCTCCAGCCAACTGCTCCCACACCAGAACACAGGGAGAATAGACTGGATTCTCAAACTTCTCAAAGAAGCTGGAAAACTGGAAATTTATACAAGTTCTACTTAGATAGTAATTTAATTTAAATAATTAAAGTCAAAGGGCAGGGGATTTAGCTCAGTGGTTCCATAGCCTGCCTCAGAAGTACAAGGTCCCGAGTTCGATCCCCGGTACCAAAAAAAAAAAAAAAATCTAATAATTAAAGTCAAGCAAAACATAGCTGCATTCTGACCTCAGCCCATGAGCTATCACTTTGCAACCTCCTCTGAACTATTCCTCTACAAGTATTTGCTTTTGCCCTAAGTACTTAGTGGTATGCTTGGGAAGAAAAATATCACAAATCAGGAGGAAAATACTAAAGGAAGGCAGACAGGAGACACCACTGCAGAACCTCCAGTTTTATCCTGCACAATGGAAGGTGAGTGAGGCAATCCCAGAACTAGACAAGTAGAGTAGTTCAGAATAGCCCCAGGTCCAATGTTTACATGTCTCTGGCCCTCTGCAACCACTGTAGGCTTTGGTCTTCACTAACCTTACAGGCCTTCTATTCCAAGAAAAAGGCTTTGCTAGGACAGAATGTTTTTACCATCTCCATGGTTATGACTTACCTATACACATCTCGTCATCTGTCTCCGCATCTCCTATGCACTGAAATTTAAATTCATTTAAGGAATCTGCAAACTTCCGCTTTGCTGAAGACAAATCTAGCAAGAAAAAAAAAAAAAAGAAGTGGAGTTACTGAAATTCAACTGGCTTTCCTAGTTGCTGCCCTTTTTAGTTCTATGAATATAGTGGTAAGATTTGTTCCAGAGACCATTACAAACAGATTTGTTCCTGAGATCATTTCAAAACCACAAATGAAGGTAAACTCAAAATAGTAACATTCATTTATAACTTGAAATATTGATCTGCTCTAGAAGTTAATAATTTTTATTTGCTTGAACAATTCTAATCCTATCTCTACTTCCTCCACCCATACAGTGAGTTCGGTCATGTCCATCCGACACATGGGAATCCATTCAGGAGGTCAAGGAGGAGGAAGCTGGATTAAAGCCAAGAAGAGTCTCCACAGCCTGCATGTCCACCCTGCCGGACTTCCCACGTGGTCAGTGTAGTGTCCCCACATTTAACTCAACAGTAACTTCCCCACAGTCAAACTCACAACACAGAGTGACATCATGGGGGGAGCCCCGGGAAAGCTGAAAGGAAGGGCTTGGAGCTGCCTGGTCCCTGCGGCCCAGGAGCACCCAGACTTCCTCTTCTAACTCAGACACAAAGTACAGATTCACAGACACCCTCTTTTCTTCCACCTGAGCCCTTCCCTGGGCGGCCACATCTATCCCAGCCAGGAGAACAAAGCCCCGGCAATGTTTTGTACTGGGCTAAAAACACACCCCACACATGGTATCTATAATGAAAACTCAGAGGTCTTTGTCAAATTTTTAAAATAAGCTGTCATTTAAGACAGCAATAAAAGCCAATGATCCTTCCTGAGCCTTCAGCTTCTGTTAAGGGTATAAAACCACCAAGGTACCTTTAAGTGGCCTGACAGACAAGGTTGCTCAGTACAAACTTGCTTAACTTAATTCTGTGTGCAGCCTTCCTGCCGATTAGGCTAATCATTCAAATTACCCTTATACATGCTTCCCTCAATGCAGGGGAAATGGCATTATGTTCAAATTCCCAGAGGGAAATATGAGGCCGAAGTAGGAACAAGGCCTGGCTTTAATAAGACATGGGGGGGGGGG